CCCCTCGAGGTAGCAGAAAATACATTTGTCAACATTACCATCACGTAGAAAAGATGTTACTCACCACTTAATTGCTGCAGACTGAAGGAGGCAGGGAAATACTTGACTGAAGACCTTCATGACGGCAACAGGAGTACGTCGATATTGTCCCTTACACGTCAAGGATTGATGATTCATCTGAAACCTTGATCTCAATTGTCCACGGCTCACCTTGGTCCGAGTTGCTGGCCCAGTTTCCACCTGCACCGTCTTTAAGGGGCAATTGAATGTTCCCTGTGCTGGAAAAACAACCGATGATCATATCCAGGGTCTTCTCATCCACCGCTGCCACAGCAGACCCCTTCGGACTGACCTCAACCAAACAGAAGAGGGAGGTTCCTCCAGAGAAGTCCGGCTCTGCACCTCCACGGCGGCCCCCTGTAGTCAGTGGTTTCTCCTGAGCCGGGAACCACGCAAGCGAGGACCTTTCTCCCGACCCCCAGTCAATGATGTTGCTCAGACATTGGCACATTGACATACTACGCCCAAAAAGATGAGCACCGAGGCCCCCTCCCCACCCCCAGCTATGCCTCCAGGAAATGCACACGGTAGCTGCCCCGTGTTGGGTCTTTGGGCTTCAGAGGGTATGGCTCCAGGAAAGGGCCAAGATTTGACCAATGTGGGTGAGCTTGACAGTTTGTTTTATGGAACTTGGGAACATGACCAGTAATAATTGATTGTCAATGATGGTCTTCATCATCAGGCTGGAGGCCATAGTTAGGACAACTTCCATGAGGAAGTAGGTTTGATTGTGGTCTTGTTCTGCCATTGACACACATCGTCACTCGAGACGCATGTGAAGACGCAGTCCATCTCCAGAGGACAACTGGCCAAGTCCTGCAGTCTTCCATTGGATTTGATCTACAAGATATCCCACTAAGCTCTTGTAACAGTGTAGCTCTTTCGCAACAGTGAGATGTTTGAATTGAATTATTCCCCTTCTGGTTGGTTTACTCTTTTTTTAAGGTAGAGCATGTGACATTCAAAGAGCGCACTAAGTCACCGTGATGGTAACCTGATCAAAAACAACACTGAGGTCACATGGAATCTGACATTTTACTGGAAGTAGCTGCGCACTGTCGTACCTCACCCGGTCCAACCTTCGCTGAACAAGCTACAGACTCGTCTTTTCTCACTATGCACCCACACGGGAAAAAGTGGGAGATAAGGCCACAGGAGAGAGCGGAGGTGAGTCTCTTCACAGTTACTTCAGTCCTGAAACTCCCCCAGACCTGAGCCCCCCCCCCCCTGCTGAAACATAGAGGAGAGGCTCCTGAGTTTATGGGCAGAGGAATGCAGCTCACATCTTTGCCATAGCAGCCGTGGCGGTAATGCGCTCACATGTTGGCGCTTGTCGAGGTGAGCGCACCTCCCTCTCCTGTATTAATAACCGAGTGTCCTCTTGCTGTACCAACGGGGCTGTTTTTTTTTTTTTTTTTTTTTGCTTACGGGAAGATAGATGACGGACTCCCCCACCTCTTTAATTTACACAATTACTTCCCCCCGTGTCTGTTTTTCTGAGATGTTCTCAATCCCTGAATGAACAACACTCAACCCCCGCCCCCCAGGAGCAGACTTCAGCTGAAGTAATGCGACTACGGCATGAAAATAAATGTGACAGCAGAGTGCAAGGAGTGAAATACTTAAAAATAGCTCTTTTTGTACTCACACTGTGATAAGGCCACATATCCTGACAGGAAAAATGTTTACACAAGCGCATCAGCCGTGACAATCGACTTATAGATATAAGGAATTGTTATGAAGATACAGCCGACTGTCAAATTCTGAGCCCTGAAAGAGAAAATCACTGGCGATGACAATGATGGCTTCCTTTCCGTCTAATATAAACATACCAGCATGATCTCTTTTTCCCCCCAGGGCAAAGTCATTGTTCCAATTTGAAAGCTCCCCGTGAACGCTTGAAATGTTCCCTGGATATTTTTTCCCTGTGCTCCTTTATTTGCTCGTATCCAGGTGATGTGCCAGCCTGTCACATCAAGCACAGACGGCCTTATTTCCTCAGAGCAAAGGTCAAAACAATTGGTGCTGGTTTGAACACCAGTTTGCGTTCGAGGTGTTACGAGCTACCCGAGGAAACTGACATTGTTAACGACACACTCAAGCGTGACACCGGTTTTGACGTCCTGTTGTACGAAAATACAAAAAATTCTTCATCAGTTTATCAGACAGAGGTTGGCTGAGGTTAAAATAAAATCTGCAAGCTTATTTGAAGAGATGTGGGAGCGGGAAAACACTCGTCACGCCACGCGGCCGATGAAGGGTAAATAAGTTCAAACACCAAAGTTGAGTCTCGGTGCCACTTGGGGCCGCCAACGTGCACATCTGCCCGTGCACGTTGAACGGAACACATCTGCATGTCCCGTTCCAGAGGAAAAACACTGAGCTGCGTCTCGACCTTCATGTGATCATGCTCATCACTGCTTACAGCGCTGACCACACGTCTTAACCACTGAATTACTACATAGTAGTAACACGTGCTAACACCTGTTGTCATAACATGTCTGTCTTTTTGTCAAAGTACACGCACAGATGTGTTTGAAATCACATATTCCTCATGGTCGTGAGTAAAAGGAAAAAAAAAAAGGGGCGTAAATGTACATGCCTGCAGAGACATGACCTTACATTTCTTTCCAGCAGAGAATGAAAATATTGTCCTCAATTAGACGTCCTGCAGCTAAATCCTACAAAAAGACAAATTGACTGACTGACACGAGTTTGCTGAAGTTTTGAATAACTTCGTTAAACCGGGATCAAAAGGAGCTACCAGTTAAAATATACACATGTAAGGTGACGTTACATGAAAACACAATAGTGACACTGGGTTTAGTGTCCATCCACCACTGCTTCGGTAGACACGCAGGCTGCGGCCTTGTGAGTGGCGTGGAATAGTGCGACAGGGAGGTTAGCATTCCCTGAAGGCACTTTAAAGAACAGTGTAGAGTGAGGTTGCACATTCTCTGCCTCGGACTCATGGAAAAAGGGACCCCGGTCTCTCAGGGAGACGGACTGACACTTCCAACACGTCTGGAGGGAAGCGTGTGCAGGATCACTCTTGGCAGCGAAACACAGGTGATTGCATCAAATGGAAATTTGTAGATGAATTGATACTAGTTGCTACAAGCTGGACTAACACGACGGGGTAATGCAGCGATGGCACACATGCACATCTAAATGTGAGTTTGAGTTTGTTTCTTCAAACACACCAATCCTGGAGATACCGTTTCATTTAAATTGTAAAATGTCAGCTTTGTGAGTCAAAAATGACGAGGTTTAAGGAGTGTAGCGACGGGTTAAATCACATACGGCTGGTAGATCGCACATACTTAGGACTTCTTCTGCCAATATTTGCGGCGTGTACATTACCGTCATGGCTCATTGAGCAGGTAAATCCAGGTGAAGGCTGTAACACGGTGCTGCTTTCAGGAATCAAATCATCAATCAACTGCAGCCATCACAAAGAGGAGACCGGGAATAGAGGAAGTCTGGAGGAGTTCGATCCGGATCCAGAGAGTCTACAAACACGTTGGTTCTTTGGTTTGGTTGGTTCCTCGGCCACTTGTGTAACATCATCTTAGAGCGCCCCCCCCTCCTTCTCCTCACGTTGAACTCCCCATTGCATTGGTATGGTCTTTTTTCCAGTCATGAATGTAATTCTGGTTGGATTGCACCTTTAATGTGCGCATCATCCCAGAAAGTTCTCCCAACGCCATCTCAACACAATCGCACGCAATGTACATTTTGCTTGTGATTAAACGGCCCGGAACAGTACCGATGATTCGCTATGGATAAAAGACTTTTGAACAACCCCCCCCCCCTTCACCACGCCGACAGACACACAAAAAGAAGGCTTTCCCCTCGGATGTCGCGTCTGGACGGTTCCTCCCCCCGTGGGACTGCTGGACTTCGGGGAAAGGGCGATATTCCCCGATTGGCCCCGCGTTGCGTTTGGCGGCCTCACACGGTAGTGACACGTGCACGCTCACATGCACAGCCCACTTTCCTTGTCCTGGTGAGCTTTTACTGGAAACTGAATGAGGACCACCATTACCATCAAAGGGTCAGGTCACCCAAATTACAACACAAAGCCACATTGTGGCGTAGCTCTCGGGTCCGAGCGGCTTTAATGAACTCAGCGTTAAAACTAATTCTCCCTCCACTTGATGTGCACCAACTAGGACAACTTTACACATGGATATATAAACACACACGCTTGTGTGCGTGTGCCAATACCTGCAGGCTGGCTCAGTCGAACCCAGGACTGGAATTCAAGACAACCACAGCGGGGGGGGGGGGGAAGAGGGGGGGGCTCAGAGTCGTCTTGTTGGGAGCACGGCGTTGTGAGTCATCCCGCCGCTCTTCTTCGTGGCTACGCGTGACGGCTGACTCACACTTCGGGTAAAAGGTCAATTAATTAGAATGTCGTTATGTCTCCCCTTGAAGTCAACGCCTGGGCTTCAGTGCCATCCAGTGGTGGTCGCAATTAAAGGGGACGGCTCACGCGCTCGCTTTAAAACACGACTCGTCACGCGTGTGCGTCTGAAGCACTTTTCCCTGCAGCCATTCTCAAATGAGCGGACGTCGGGGGCCTTGATTAACGCTATTAATGTCCAAATGGAAAGTTCACTGGGGACACACAAAATACAATAACCAGGAACAAGTTCACAAGTCAGTATATTTTCTTTTGTGGCTTTCCCAGTGTTGCAGCTCAATAACATAAAAAACAAACATTGAACTTATCGTGAATTCAAAAATGTATCTTTAAAGTGGATACAGATGCTTTTGAGAAGTTTTTATTTTTATTTTACCAGTCTGAATACATAAAAAATGAGAATTAAGAATAAAAAGCAGTAAAGGCAACAAAACACTTTCTCTCTAAAATGAGTGTTGTGAGACTGAAATGATATTTACTGGTTTACCTGTTTAAAAAAAACATCCACATATTTGACTCAAAACTGGGATTTACTTTATTCAGGTCAATGTTACATGTAGATAAAAAAACAACAATGGATGGATACGTTCATCTCAACAAAGCATGAATGAATGAATACCCATGAACCAATGAAATGGGCTAGTTGGACCTTGTTGCGACACATTCAGGCCAGCTAGCGTCTGAGCATTCCAACATTTCACTGTGTCACAGTTTCATCTGCGTTGTTTCTGGCCGTGAATCGCATGCTGATGTCCTACAGACGGTTTCTCAGCTCACAGCCGAAATGAAATAACTGGATGGAAACAGCACGGATCACAGAAAACATCAAAGGACTTTAGTCGGGTACTACCGTAGATACTTGAACTACTCATTTTAACCACAAGTTACTAAATGATGAACCCTAAACACACAAAGACCAAAACTGGTCTTTTTTTCGACCAGATGAAGATATTTAGGTCCTGGCTTCAAATTTTTAGAATAAAAAGTAGGACAAGTTTAAAATGACAAAGAGGACAGTATTTTGATCCAATCCAATGAAGGAGGGGGGGGGGGTTACATTCATAAAACACTTCAAACTAGAACACAACATTTCAAACAAAAATGCAAAACCAGCTTTTAGCCGGGGGCGGATTACACAAAAATATCATTGTTTAGCTGCCGGCTGTTAAATAAAAGATTTGCTTACAGGAAAAAAAAAAAAAAAAACGTTCATTGGCTTTGACAAACGGAAAGTAGAAGATTAGAAAATCCTTCTTGAAGGACTCAACCATGAACTCGTAGGCAAGCCAAAAATAATTCCTAGAGTCGGCATCCAGCTCCTACTGAAACCTCCCTCCAAAAGAGGACAACAAAGGAACCAAACAATGAAACATTTAGGTGGATTATCAGGGAGACTTCAATGGCCCGAATTAGCTGCAGAAGGGAAGTTTTCCGACTATCCTTCTCAGACAACCGGAGGGTTAAAGATGGTCCAACGGCCAACATTCGGCTCATAAAAGGCTCGTGAAAACCGAATCAGGATTTATGATCAGAAACACGTAAGCACGGAGCCATTGAAACGCTCATTGTCATCCGAGCATCGGTATAAACACTGCAAACGATTACCTGCTTCTTCATGTGGTTTCTGCTCAGCTGACGTGGTTTTCTGGCCTTTCTGCACCTCATGATTATGTTGTAATAAAGGAGATGCTCTGTGATCACAGTCCTGTAGCTGTTATTCCATTAGAGTTCATTGAAAACGGTGTTCGCATTTGCTTTTTGAACCCTGTGGATTTCTTTAACAGGAACACTTGAGTCGGGGCAGCTGCGTTGGTTTTATAAAAACAATAACAGTATTATTAAGAATGTTTTCTGTAACCACTGAAACAAGAACTCTGTCAAACGAAATGGGGTTGATATGAATTCACGCTGCGAATAAGTTCATGCTAATTCAAACTTCAACTGTATAAACTCATCTACTTGAGAGTTTTGAAAGATTATAGGTTTAAAAAACCCCGCCGACATCCCCCCCCCTCGTACATGCTGCTCAGACTCACTCGTTTACCTCAGTTCACAGAAGAGATATTTAAAGGCACATTCTGCAATATCTCCTATTGCATTGTTGACTTAGCGAGGACACACAGTGTCACGGATGCGAAGCACCTGAAGCCGGACTCATCATCAACACCGCAGAGCGTGCGGCAAAGACGTCTGCAGGAAGTGAGGGCGGGGAGCTTTTGAAAATGTGATTTTGAATGTGGTTTAAAAGTAGAGATTTTTAGCAATGACTAACTTTACAAAGGACTTTTGCCAATTTAAATGTCTGTGAGTGGTTGCAGCTATAAAAAAAAAAAAAAGAAAATCTGCAGGTGGGACATTTATTGCCTGCAGGTGGCGCAAGTGTGATTGAGCGGCAATGTGAGTGGATCAGGGACGAGCTCCGGGAGGTGCTTTGCATCTCAACAAAAAAAAACAAAAAAACAGTGACACCTGCATCATTAATGGCTTCACCCACTTGACGCTCCGCGATGACGACACGTTAAGACGGAAAGTAGGAAATCTCGCTGACTGTGCCTTTAAATGTCTTTCAGGTTGTAAAACGCTCCCACTTTGTTACTTCTTCTCAATCTTCAGTGTTTGTACAAAATCCCAAAGGTCCTTGGCCACCTGAGAAAGAGGAACGGGTGGGTGTGGGGTGGTGGGGTGGTGGGGGTCCAGACAGAGACACAGACATGGAATTATAAACCCTGCAAATGAAGTGGTGTACAGCGGTTGACGTAGTGTTGGGAGCGCCGACTCGAGACGGACGGGGCTGCTGGGGAGCGACGAGGGGTTGGGTGGGGGCAACAGCGCATACCAGAGCGTATGACTCGGCGCTCCAGGTCTGACACATCTCAGACCAGAGCGCTTCCACAGATGTTGCTACACACTGGGAGCAACAAGCCCCGCCCCCCTTCACTCTTTTCCATGTCCGTCCCGGGCCTTTTTACTGGTCCGAATCGCTTTCACCTGCTCTCGTAGCTGTACGGCTTTGAACAATGTTCAAATGGCCCTTTATAACAATTGTGACACGGAGCCAAGAAGCATTTAGCCAGCGGTTAACATCTAAAAGGGTCCCGGGTGATTCATTCCTGCTCCACCACACAAAGCAGGGGCTGTTGTTTTTCTCCCAAAATGACAAGCAGCATTAGAAAAGATTTAAGTCCTGCATTGAAGAAGGAAATGGGGTTGGTCAAAGGCCTTGAATGTGAAAGAGACTGGTACCATCCACATACCACCAGTCCCTTCATTAAGGCTACAACAGACACTCTCTCCAGTAAATCACAGGGAAAGAGTTCGCCGGGGCAGGTGTACTCCCGTTCCATCTCCAAAGAGCCCGCTGACACAAAATGCATATAATTCAAAGTGAACACACTCTGGACGGCGTGAACAACGGTGCATTTGTGCAAACAAAGCCCTTGTGGCTTAAAAATGGAAGGCGGCTGGAGACGCGCGCCCCCGGCTGCCAACCAAACAGCTGCGTCGCGTTTGCGAGACGAAATGCTCGGGCGAAGAAAAATCCCGAAATTGCCACGAATTGTCACATTTGATGTCGGAGAGAGCTTCTCGAGGTCGGGACCCTCAAAACCATCAGAGCATCCATCGGCTCACCATCGCTTACCTTTTTGTCCGAGATCCTGAAAGAGCTCCTCACGTAATTCTCAAACTTCTGCTCGGTCTTTGGCAGCGGTTTTCCCTGATGGAAAAGAAAAAAAATGGTCAATCGTCAGCTCAACCACGGCTTTCAAATTACGCGGGGCGATTGGCGGCGAGAAGGACTGCGGCATCACCTCCTTGGCCGCCTTCGACAGCTTGCTCTTAATCTCGCTGGGGGAGAGCGGTTTAGACGGGCCGGCCTGGGCTTTGTCCCTCCCCGGGGCAGGTGTCTGGGGGAGAATACATCAACCAGATAAGAAACACGGAGGGAGACGTCTAATACAGGGAGAGTTACAGGCGCTGTAGATGGAAAGATAACTTCATATTAGGCTCAATCACCCGTCCAGCTGACCAGCGGGCCGGTCTGGGCTACAGCCGTGACCCGTTGGGTCGGGGTTTACGGGCTCGGCGTGGGCAGCCAGCTGGACGAGGATGAAAGCGCCAGAAAAGGACAACAAATTCTGGTCTAATTACACCGTCGTTTTCAAACAAATACATCAGGTAGAAATTATGCTTTTATTGTTTGCAAGCGGGAGAGGGCATGCCCCGACTCCCCGATGAGTAATAGAGATTTGTTTGTCAAAAGCGGTTTTCCCCTTGATGTCAAATCGACCAAAGGAATAAAATGTTAAGAGCTTTTTTTTTTTATATTGAAAGTTATGCTCAAGTGAACGACTTCCATAAGACAAGATTAAGACTTTTACACTTTTAAGGACGGTCAAGAGTGAAACAACACTTCTCTCCCTTTTATCTTTATGACATTCTTAGTGACCCACAGGTGTGATCGGACCCCCTCCTCCCCCCTCCCCCTCTCCCCAAGAGGAAGGCCTCTGAATGTGACACAACAACGCCGACACGCACAATGTTACACAAGCAGAGGAGCTTGTCTCTGCACGTGAAGCAGGGGAGGAATCCGGGGAAATTGCAGGGCTTCATTGATAGCCAGAGTTTTACACAGTATTATTTAACGGGAGGCAGTCGGACAGCGTCAGTGAAGGATGAGAGTTTCTTAATCTCCCACTTGAACTGGTCGTTTGGATGAAAGTGAACAAATATCAAGAAAGTCTTCTTACTTCAAACAACTTCAGCAGCCACGGGACAAGACTCAAAATCGTTAAAAACAGGTGGAATGTCCTGGGAGGAAATAAATTGTCTGTCCCTCGTTTTGAAAAAAGAAAGACAAAATGCAATCATCTGTCCTTGTCCCCAAGAGAGCAGCCTTTTACGGCACAGATCAAAAGCTATAAAAAGGGGGAGAAAGCCTGACGCACACATACCACACCACAAAAGAGACGGCGCGTATGCCTCTGGCTCCCGGCCAGACGAATGTACTACGCATTTATTATTTATGGGAAGCCCTGTACTTCCAAGGGACAGCTGTGGACCCGAAAAACAGCTGATAAACACACAGCACCGGCTTTTTCATCTGGACCGGACGCTGATTACAGATTACAGCCACGAGACACGGAACTTAATCACAAGCACGCGATCATTTTGATGAGCCGTCTGGTCCTCGATCCGCGGCGCACGCACGGCGGGGCACCTCAGCGCATCGGCTCGGACCAGCGGCGGCACTTTGGATATTTTTTTTTTTTGCGCCTTCCGAGTTGGAAGCGAGCGTTCCCCCCCCCCCCCCCCCTCCCCCTCGCGGGAATCGTCAATAAACCCCAAACAACACGAGCACCTGCTGCAACACATGCCAATCAGCCGGGGCAACAATGACTCACACCCCTTTCGGATGAGCCCGACGCGAGCGGCGCGCTCGCTTTACGACCGTGACGTGTGCTGCGAGGCGTCGTCTACTCCCAGAGCCATCAATCAGGGGACGCCAGCTGCCAGATGAAGTGACTTCGGATCGGCGAGCCGGTTCTCACGTCCAGCCCGTCGCCGCCGCGAGCTGCGGCGGCACGCTGGGCCCGCGAGAGGTGAGAACCGCGGCGCTGGCAACACATCTGACAATCCGATCTAATGACCAGTCACCTGTGTTTAGGAAAGAAGAAGAAGAAGAAAAAAAAGACAAGACATCCACGCCCGCTTCCTCGCTCCTCGGGGGCATCTGGAAGCGCAAAGCTGCACCAGACATCAAACGCTGGTAATGGGGAGCAATTGGGAGAAGGTGTGTCCAGGAAGTGAGGGGTGTGAAGAGGTTGCAGAGAGGGAACAGTTGTTGTGTAGAGCAGATCGGGGAGGAGGGAGAGAGGGGGGAGGGCGGCTCTATAAGGAGGGGGAAGAGGGTTAAACTGGCGGGATGGTTTCTGCTAATCCCCCGGAGCATTTCAAGAGCCACTGTTGTGTTGTGTCCGGACAACGGCCAGCGCAGAATTAGCTGCACTCGCCGACACGCGGCAAGAAGAAAAAAAAAAACTGGGGCCATGGCGGTGGGGTGTGGGGGGGGGAGTTGTCGCTTCATCGCTCCAGAAACTCAGCAAACCAGAACACGATATAGAAGTCACAGATCTTTCCTTCCAAGGCGTCAGACAGGAAATGCACAAGTTGCGTTTTTTGGCGCGGTCGCCATTCTCGCCTTCGCCGACTTGTGAAATGAGTCAACCTGCACGGCCGCTTGCCGATTTCCCTCGTGTGCACGTGTGCAACGGGAAGCTGTGAGGACATCAAAGGGGGCGGGGGAGGGGGCTGCAACTCAAGACGCCGGGGGTCAGGCCAAAAAGGTCACGGGGTTTAAACCTTGCCCCGGGAAGCCCGCTTGGAGGTCAGGTGTGTTTGCTTAAAGAGAGGCAGGGTTCAAGCTGTGGGTTTTCAGAGGCGGCCGCCCGAGACATTCCATCCGAGAAATTAACTATCAGGTTGAGCTAATTGCAATGTGCGTTTATCACATTCCTCGACTGGGGGGGGCGGGATGGGGGTCTTCTTTTCTTTTCTTTTCCAGGTATGTTTTAATTGTAAAAGCCAATAAATGCAGATGCGGAAGAGACACCTTTTGTGTCGCCAGTCTCCAGTTCGAATCGCTTTGACAAAAGGAAAGCATTTTTTCGAAGCATCGTGTGACGCACTCAGCTCGAGGGCCTCGTCGGGGTTTTCACCCCAGACAAACAGTTACAGGTAGGAGGTCAGATCGCAGATCTCCACCATTTCATTTGGTGAAGATTTTCCTGCTCGTGTTTACGTTAGCTCACCCTGCCTCCTCCCAGCAAAGCGGCTCCTCGGTTATCCAGTATGTGCATTGCAATTCATGGACACCATTACCACTACGTTGCACAGAGAGACTTTTATGTGACACGACCGCATGAATAATGAATCAGTCGGATAACGAAGCCATGACACATGAAACAACTCTTCTAGGTGTGAAGTCTGTCCATCAACTGATGGGATTTTCTCTACCTTCATCTGGGGTTTGACTGATGATCCTGAAGGTTTTCCCGCGGGGCCGTTTTGTTTCACCGGAGTCTTGTTGGGCTTCTCTGAGCTCTGAGAAAACCAAGAACACAAATTCATGAAAAAGACGTCTCCAATATGACAGGAAGCATGTGAATAAATGTGTGAGTGTGTGTGTAGGGAATAATAAGGAAACAAGCAACCTTTTTAAAGCTTTCAGACTGTCCCTTCTGCTGAATAATAAAAAAATGACATTTTAAGCTGAGGAAATAAATGCAAATGTGCGATGGGCCCAGGCGGGGGTCCCACTGAAGATAAAAGAAGCTGACAATTGACCCATCGCGAAAGAAAGTGCTGTGACTAACTTTGAAGAATGAACTGTTTTCTTATTTGACGGCAACTGAATGAAGTTTGTTAACGTTGTTTGAAATATTCACGTTAAAACAACTTTTGGGGCTTTTAGTATTTGTCATGTTGTCATAAAACCTCATTAAAGCTGAAATTGCTGCGCTTCTTTTATCGCTAAAACATTTTACAACAAACAAACTACATTAGTGGAGTTTGCACTTGTCGTTCTTCTTCAGTCTTTTGCCGTCAGGTATTTTCACTCATCCCTGTAAAGTCATAGTTTACAGGGATGAGATACAACTGTATCTTTGACAACAAGGTCGGCACGGTCCGCACTGTCCGTTAGCTCATACATGAGCTCGCAAATTTGGAATTTAGCGCCTTGAGAAATGATGGTTTATCTCAGCAAGTATCTCGTTAACAAGGCCTGTGTGATACACACATAACTGGAACCAAATCAGACAGGTAATGATACTGCAATCCTCTCCACGTGGCTCAGATGACATCACTGGGTAATTTGTCCGTGGTCATTGTTCTGCACTCTGGAGGCCTTCCTGTCAGGTTACCGTTGCTCTCAGTCACCTGTGTAATTACCTCGTAATAGCCGAGGCAGGTACCTGCATTTCCTGAGCACCAACCCTCTCCTCGGAACGGGCTGGAAGTGTAATTGCCTGTGTTGACATAACTGCTACAAGGCAATTACACATGTTATTTCCTACAGCCGTGGCTGGTAGCAGAAGAGGCTGTAAGGAGCCTCCAGTCGGGTTGCCAGATTTAATTTAGCAAATTATAAATGTAGGGATATAAATATACAAAGCACACAAACACATGAAGTAGAGAACTGTTATTCAAATCCTTCATAGATGCTACTCGGGGTATGAGGTTGGTATTCTCAAGTCAGATTGTGTTGGGTCTCTCGGTCTACATCTCAATACATGCTCCCAAAATCCCTTTGATTCTACCAAAAAGTGAAAGACTTTGTGGCCGTTTGTGACGAATGAGGAACTAATTCTTTAGGCTGCTCCTGCGGCGTTTGGTAGTGAATTTAGGAAGTGGAAAGATTTTACCACAAAGGTGAGACGGCGGTCTGTGTCGCACTGAGGACGCGCTTTCACACATTGAAACAATTATACAAAAAAAAATGTTTCAGTGACTCACACACCCACTGTGTCTTTGTCTTAACATCAACACGGCCTGCTCTGCTTTTCAGAACGGTGATCTTCATCATCTCAATGGACCCAAATGTAGTTGCCACGGCAATGCGGTCAAATAGCAATTGAAATATTTTAATACAAGGCAAAGACAAGCTGAACAACCGGTTTCCCTCTTCACAAAAAGCAGCAAAAAACCAACATTGTGTGAAAAGAAATAAACAGAAGCAAACTTTCAGATGAACGAAATGTGTTTGGATCAGATATTTCTGATCAAAGAACAAGTGCACTATAGATTAAGAACCCGTTGAAGCATTTGTCTCTTAACAACCCCACGGACACGCAAAACAAACCCGACTTGCTGACTTGGCATTCCGAGCATAAAAGCCGCTCCTACTTTGTTAAGTTCAGTTCTTTGGTAACTAAAGAAGGGAAAACCACGGCGCTGAGGAGGGGACGGCTGAAGGAAAGGGCTTAAGGTCATGGGGGGAGGAGGAAGGGGCGGGGGAGGGACGAGGAGACGGGAGGTTTTGGACGTGAAGACAACAGAATAAATCAACAGGTGACAGAAAATGCTCAGCTGTCATCTGACCCCGAGGCCGGGATGGGCGCTCACGTCGCAGGTATGCGCATCTGCCCCGCTTTGATCTTCCGCCTGGCACACTGAGCGCTTGGATGGCGTGTTTTTAAAAACAAAACCAAAAAGAAGAAGAAAAAAAAGGCAAAGAAATCACAAACAGACAGCGACGTAAAATGAAAAAAGGGGGGCAGCTACACACGTGCGTCCAGACACTTGCAAACAATTGTGGTAACACGCAAAAAAAAACAAGTGCTCAAAGGGAAAAGGCCAGGTGCAACGCCACAACGGCACGAGAGACGATAAAAAGGAGCGATCGTATTAACAGTGGGATGACAGAGGGACAAAGATATGCGGCGGTACACAAAAATGTGGTAAGAGGTTTCCCATCACTGAGGTGTGTGTGTGTGTCTATTGTAAATATATCCGGTTATGTTTTTCAAAGCATGTGCATTTTCCTATGCTTGTGTGCGTACACACGTACAGTAGGTGTACATTGTGTGAATAGACACACTACGTCCGTGTGTGTGTGTGTGAGTTGGTGAGAATTCAAGCAGATTACAGAGGAGAAATCCGATCATTACGCCACACACACCCTGTGTTTTACTCGGGGAAAACAGGTGGGTACATGAGCGAACAGGATGGAAAAAACGCTCCGTGCAACAAAAAAAAAAAAAAAAGGTGTCCGGTCAGTGAGTGCAGCGATGGGACGGGCCTGCTGAAGGAAATGCTACTATAGGACACGGCGGGTGGGAGTCTACGCGATGCGCTGCAGGCAGAACGCAGACAAATGCCCCTTTCCAAGAAGACGTAGCCGAGGGGGAAAGCCCTCGGCTACTGTGACACCTGGTGGACGACCGGGGGGCCGGAGAACATCCGAGCTCGTTTTATCCGGCGTGAGACGTTTAGTTTGAACCGCCACGTCTCGAAGCACAAGTATTTATTGCACTCCAATAGAATTTAACTTTATCCAAACGCAATCTAAAACAACCAATGTTATTTAGACTTCATTAGCCATTAGAGAAGCTGCATCGGTTCACACTAATTCTATATGGAGAGGCCCTGAAAAAACATGTGAACCTCGTCCTCCTAAACCCTTTACAGAAGCGCGGACGGAAATGAATCCTCGGTGCGACCGTTCGCTCCCAGTCGAGTTCAAATAACGTTTCCGCTGCCCAGGAGAGGAAAACCGAGCAGCAACGAACAGAAGCTCCAGACGGACGTCCCCGAAGCAAAAAGTCGTGCAGATTAATGATCGGTGGAGTGATTGATTATCGGTGACGTTTGCTTCTGAGATGCAAACTTATTTTTGCTGTTTTGTGACATCAAACATTTTACGCGCTTCCATGCGACCACATCGGTACTCATTGAATTAACTCTTGTGTCCTAATGTTTGAAAAAGAGTCAAGCTCACTTTTTTTTGTTCTTTTCCGGCATTCTTCTGAGGCTTCACATCATTTTCATCGCTGTCGTCATCTTCATCATCACTAAGAAAAAAGAAAGGACAAACAAATATTACTTAAACTTACTTATTTGCGCGTAGAACTTTAAATTCTCTCTTTTTTGGGGGGGTTTGCGCCACGACAGGAAGAAAATGATCCTTAAAAGACATACTCGTCCTCATCCTCGTCACTGTCGTCTTCATCATCGTCAGAGTCCATCTTTAGTTTTTTCTACAAGAAAAAGGAATCAGAATCTCACTCCAGGTGAATCTCCTCCTTCGGGAAGATCTGCCTTCAGTTCTGAAGCAACTAAATGAAAGCACCGAGGTAGCTACCAACGGGGGCTTCTTCCCCGAAACGAGGCCCGCGGGCCGCTTCACCGGGGAGCTGTTGTTCTCCTCCTCTTCATCCTCAGAATCCTTCACGCCTACAAAGCAAACACTGGCTACTAGTGATCAAAGTTCAGGTTCATCTGTAGAGCTTTGAACGGACACAAACATTATTGGAAACAGAGAATGGTATTGAGTATAGTCTGAAAGTGATTAGTTTTACAGTAAAAAATAAAAAAAGAGTAGAAATGCTTTTTCTATTTGAAAAATGGCAAAGTTCATGTGTTTTACTCAACTGTAAAGAAGCAAATCAAGTCCACCCCAAAATAGACACCTTATGTTTTGCGGGTTTATAAAATAAAGCCAACTTCACCCCCGAGCTACGTGGAGCTAAACGGCTGCTTCCGGCTGACTTAGTGTGAAGCAGGAGAGTACTTCTTTTAAATGAAGTGAACCGGCAGCACCAGCACCCCAAATACTCACTAATGAAATGCTGCCCGCTGATGTGGACCGGGCCGGAGCCGGACTGGAGACGGAAGGTAACTGGAGGCGTGATCTCAAATCCACCTAAACTCATCTGGACAAGAAAAAGAAGAATCACACCGCAGCAAAAATAATCATTGTTAATACACCATTTGTATCCTATTTCAGGGTGAAGAAAGAAGAGGAAGATTCCTGCTTTCTATAAAAACTGCTATAATAAGATAAAGGTATCGCTTAATAGATGTGTGTTTTCTTTAATACTTCACGTGTTCACTCACAGAGGGCAGGACGGACGGCTTCAGGACGACCAGCGGCACTTTGGTAGATTTCCCATCATACGTGAGCCCTTCGATTTCCACCATGTGGAACTTGTCCTCGGCCTCGGCTCCCAAACACACCTGGAAGAGCAGCAGGCGACCCTTTGACCCTTTTACTGAACTGATGGAGACCATTTGATGTTTATGCAAATAAAATGACATTTGGGGGGTAACCAAATGATAAAACATGTTTTATCGGTAAGTAATTGGTAAGTTATTGCTGTAAATATTTTCATTATGAAATCATAAACTAGCTGTGTGAAATCATGAAAATAACAGCAATTACACTTGCCCCATCAAAACAAAGACACATTAACTGTGTCCAAACATTCAAGAGCGAGGGACACCAAACGTGTGTGAACAACGTGTATTCTCTGCGATGTCTGAAACTAGTACGCGCGACAAAAAGCGTCTTCCTCACTGCTTTGAGTGACAGCTGCTGCTCCGCATCATCGTCGTCCGCGTCGACTCTGAACTCCCGTTTGTCCGATTTGAGGGTGCAACCTGGAGAAAACGACAACCTGGCGTTGGCACCTCTCTTGAATAGCGCACACACAAAATGCATTGAACAGTGTGTCTGTTTTTTTAGTGCGTTAGCTGTGGCCGCGGGCTCTGCGCGCTTCGCTCGGCTAGCTAACAAAGGGGCTCGATTGGCGCGCGGGCAGGGAGGGTGAGCAGGTTAGCAGCTATTTAGCTTGACTTTATCTAGCTAAAAAAAAGAAGAAGATAAATGGCTATTTGTGCGTGATAACATGGCAGTTAAACAAATTGTGTAGCGGATGGTTTTCTTTTAAAGGTATTTCATTATAAGAGAGCTCACCAAACAAATACATTTGAGGTCTGCTCAAATCTGAGATATCGTCCTCCATCTTTGTTGTGGGTGGTTACACTTCCGTGAATTGGCTTGATGGAAATGTCAACAAGCCAATGAGGAAACAGAACGTCACCGCGGTTTTTGGAGTGCGCGGCCAATAGAATTAAAGGCTAGGCGGGACTTTTGAAATGATGCGTTCTCATGGTAGAACACTAGATAGAGCTCTAGTAATAGAGATTGAGTAAATTACCCTAAAAACAAATTATAACCATCATAATCAAGGAGGTTTGAGGCCATTCATTTCCTTTCACCAGAGGCTATTACAATATTATTAATGCGTGTAATATAATATAATATCATGACAGTAGGCAGCTGAGGAGGTAAATAACGTCCAAATGTTGTTGTTTTCATATCAATAGGCTATAAAATTAGATAGAAGTAGATGCATTTGTACTTTGCATGACCCCCGATTTACTACCCGCAGGGTCCTTTTTACAGTAGTTTGTATTTTTCCTAATTTGCAATGTGGCTTCCTCAAATAATCTTTACAACTTCATATCACTTAATGCACTGTTTGGGTGAAATAAAAGAGGCCTTTGGTCAGTAATATTAAAAGGGCAGCCCAGGGGGCAGTTGCAGCTTTAAATGAGTCTTCTGTGGTTGTTAAAAATGTTGATAATAAAATGGCGAGCAATTGCAGTCTCAGATATTACGGAGAAGATAAATTAATCAGGTTTGGAACTCACCAAACACATATTTTCGAGGAAGGGCTCGTTTTCAAGGAAAACACCCAAGTTTCACGTTTCTTTTGTAATTTTTGTATTTTGGGATTATATTCTCTTTAAATTTGCACAATATGAATCAGATCATTAAATATGGCCTTTGAACCACAGTGTGCTAGACACTTTTTAACCTCCCAGTTCAGGGGTGACAGATTATTTTTATTTCCTTGGAAGGTGAGCAGCCTTTCACCTTGACTCATCTGGCACACTTGGCTTGGATTCAGTACTGTTGCATGACAAAACATCAGGGAACGCACTCCCGTGGCCTCCAGAACATCCGAAATGGGGCAACAGCAGCTGTGTTGCTTAATTGTGAAAGCGGTGTGACCCTAATTAGCGCCTCGGAGTGAGTCAGCATGGCCGGCCGGCGTCGAGCAGGTGCTGAGACGACGCTGCGCAGTGCCAGTACAGTGTGCACCCACGAGGAATGACTTGTCTTCATGCATGCCTGCAAGCTCCAAAGGGTTTAAAGAGCAACAGGCTGCCAGGACACGTCCGCAGATCCCCTCTCATATCACGCTCACGTGAACACATTTTTTTCGTGCAGATTCCTGGAGGTTTTGATTCCCATTTGTGCCCATTCAAAGATTTAAAGACACCTGAGAAGGAGCGTACTTAACAGTGCAGTAAAACGTTCCCTTTCATTACTTCAATAATATATGTATGTACAAGTATGATGTTTCTGTAATCAAATCATTGCTGTATTATCATGTTTTTACTGCTAGATGTTCATGGTTGTGCAAATGATTTAATATGGGCCATTTTAATCGACAGCGCTGCTTCATATTCCAGGAGATCGCCACATGTTTGTGGGCCTCACTGCCACGTCTGATCCAGAAGACCACCCTGGATCTTTCTACTGATTCAACATGATTTTAAAATAGTTTGTTTTGATTGTCTCTCAACACATTGAGGACGAGGACATACTTGGTTTTCAATCGACAGGAAGGGTTTTAAAAACGGCACACTAAAAAATAAGCTGTCGGACAAAGTGGAGTAAAAAACCTTCATTTCCCTCTGAGGTGTAAAAGTGTGAAGCTGCTTTAAAGGGAAAAGCACAGTGCAATGATCTTTAATGTGTACTTACGTGTACAGTACAAGTATTACTCATGTGTTATACATGAAGGGGTTGAAGAAAGTTGAATAATCGTTAAATAAATCAAACTAATCTTTATTTCCACATTACTACTCTTCTCCTTTGTATGAAGTAACAATTGTGTGTACCTGAAAACACTCATTTATGTTGAGGGACTAAAATATTAGTGCTACTTGATTCCAAGTACGCGTGAGCTTTTGTATGAACAACGTCTCTGATGAAGGTTTCAGCTGGTTATGTTCACCTTTCGTTGTTGTCCTATTTGTGTTGTGCAGGACGTGACACGCAACTGCACACCTTGTTTTCCCACTATTAGTACCGAATAAACTCCATAATCTCACAAAGTGACCATTTAATACTAAATATGCAACGTGATCTCCAAAACCTGTTCGTAAAAATATATACGAAAATCTTGAACATATAAATTGGTAACAATACGTAGGAACTGGCGGTGGTTAACCACGCCCCCTGAGCAAACAACATGGCGGACCATGTCGGATTCTTGAGTGAACGTCTCTCCGCCATGTTGGATGTTTTGAGGGGGTTAGGGTTAGTATTCTATTCTTACAAGTTAACATTGATTTCTCGTTAAAAATGCAATCATAACACGTTTATTTTACATGGTTAGACTTCACGAAGTGTGTTTACGGGCCGCAGGTCCCCGTTCACTTTGAACAGGGTGACGTCATCAGTTGCCAGTCCGTATTTATTTACTATGTATCACTACGAATTTGTATCTTCAAGATTTTCGTATACATTTTTACGAACAGGTTTTGGAGATCAGGCTGAAATATGAGATTCCCCGGAGGCTTTTTGAAGACCTAAATGTCGACTGCGTTTCACAAGAGCGGAAAGAAGCGATGGCAGCGTGGCGCAGCGTGGCGCAGCGTGACGCAGCGAGCGTTGGTGAACAGCTTTTGCTGTCGGCCCTGTGCTAAAGAGAGTCCTCGATAGGAAGTCTGATAGACCCCCGAGCCGCTCTTGTTCATCTTGTGTGGTGACATTTTATTGGATAAGGACGGGGCCCTTTGGCGGCGGGAGAGACGGGGGCGGAGAGGGGGCGAGGGAATGAAAAGCCGTGACAAGAAAAGAGGAAAAACAAAACAAAAACCAAGCTTTAAGCACCTGTAGTGAGACACAATGCACGGTTTTGAAAAACCGTGCATGGGAGGAATTTTCTAAAACGGCCCGAGTCACGTCAAGTCAAGGCGCCCGAGACGGAGAGATGAAAGCAGGAGTGAGCGGAGGAAATGGGGGTCGAAGAGGCGTCGCCTGGAGAACTGCCCGCTATTGACAGGATCCCAACCGGGCGAGACGCCCCGAAAACACTGACTGAACACAGGAGCTGTGTTCCAGAGGCGGCAGCGCGGTCGTCGGGGGGACCTGATCACCAACCCCTGGAGTTTGTAAACCAGAGCCTGTGGCCGAGGTCGAGGCGACATCACGCTCACGGTGCAGCGACTGGATGTCGAGGAGAAGAGCTCGGCCCGCCGCCAGGCCCCGTGTGCTGCGCCGCCCATTCACGGGCCAATGACCGTGGGTGACGCGTCTCGCTCTGTTCTTAGATAAGTTGCTTTTGTTATGACGGCTGGACGCTGTGATAAACGGATTGTTTACGGGTGTCTGGTGTCTACGTGGACAACAATGGCAGCCAGAACCCCGAAATGGTGGGGAAACTTTGTTCTATTCCACAAGAGAGTCATTTTGGACTATATAATACTGTGTGTGTCCACTTAGTTTACATGTTTGATCCGCATTTAAAAGAGCAAAAGGTGTAACAACCAGCTAAAGAGACACCAGCGTCCCAACGGAAATAAAAAGATGTGATGATAAAGTTTGCCATCTGACAGGTCGAGGGATTGTTTCCATTCCTCCTGCAGGCGTGAGCTGATTAACTGGAAACAGCTTAACGTGAGCTTCTTGCTTACAATGACTAACAATCTGATATCAATGGTTGTTTTTTCCAACAATCCGAGGCAGCAAGATAGGGCACGATGAGGAAGAGCCACACAGATGTACAATAGAAATGACTGTGCACTGTGGAAATGACTGTGCACTCTGGCCGTAAAAGGTAACGCGTTGAGGGACGACCGTGACAAAAGCAACTTGAGGTGAGCGCTCCTTTAGGAACAAAACAAAGACATAAATAAAAACCAGGCCGCTGCATTCAAAGCGCTCCCTCGGCATCTGCACAACGTGCACTTTACTCTCATTCTAATCGGAGCAGGCGTCGGCTTTCCGGCCTTTTATTCACCCGGGGAGGGTCTCGCAGAGCGGCCCTCCTTCACGCTCACGCCCGGGAGCTGTGCTCATCAGTTTTTATGGATGAAAAAAAGGCATTGCGCTGTCCTTCTGTTGCATTTCAGGAGGGTATCTTACCTTTGGGTGGTTTGAAACTTTAATGTGTAATTATAGCTAAATCCCACAGGGCTGACTTACCTGCTAAAATCATAGAGCATTATTCCGCGGTTTTCAACATGGCGACAAACGATACAAAGAAAGAGCCAGAAAGACAAAGAGAAGCGAGAAAAACAGAGAGGTTTGTCATCTTTTCAAAAAGTCACAATGTCATTTAATATAAAACACCTTTAAATTGAACACAATGATGAATTTGTCATCAAGAGTTCCACCAATTGAATATACCACTTTGAAAACTGCAGTCCACCTCGGCGGCAGCCGACTTCGGCGGTCCTTCCGGGTGCACACAGAAGAGGGTTTGAAACATGCATTTACTACATTGTACAAAGTCAAAAGCAGGAGTTTTTTTTTTTTTTTTGTTGTTGTTGCTGTTACTGGCAGAGAGTCTCTGCCGCCTCGGGAAAGGATCCAGAGGCAACAGGGAGGGGAGCGCAGGGGAGGGGAGGGGGCAGTCTTGGTAGTTGGGCATGTACAGAGGTGTCCATTTGTTTCCCGGCACTTATGGGTAAAGTGCCCTCCTCTCTTTTAGACCGTCAACTGAAGGGAAAGCGGAAACTTGGTGTAAGGCAGGAATTTGACTCAACACACATTTCTGTCAACAGTTGCTTCATTTGGACAAACGTGTCGGTGCGGCTGTCTCTCTCTCTCTCTCTCTCCACTCGCCCGCCCCCGCACCCGCCCGCCATGTTGCTGGTGGCGATTAATGAGTGAGGAAGCACGATGTCCATTCAATATGTGTATTTATTACTCCCTCATTAATGACGTCCCACAGCGGTGCTCGTCCTCTCCCTCCGCTTTCCTACACACACACACACCACGCTCACACTACAGATGCCGCGGAGGTGACGGAGGTCACCTTACTGTCATCCGCCCAGGGCTGCAGGTTTTGCAGGGCGTAGAGGGAGGAGTTGTGCAGGCAGAGGGGGTCCGGCTGCAGGGGCTGGCTCAACGTCTTCTGGAAAGCTTCCTGCTGAAGCTGCAGCATCAGCCGGTTGGCCTGCTGCCTCTCGGCCTCTCTCTCCTCTGCAGTCTGTCTCCTGGGTGGATGGGGGGGGGACAAAAGAAGAAGATATAAGACCTTGAGAGTGGGGGGCTTTTATGAGGCATGTACGCAAGATGTATTAATACCGCAGCTTTGTTCGTATTGTTGGTCTCACGTCCTCAAAGAGAAGCAATTACATTAAAATTGCGAAAAATACGAAATAATCTTTCAATGTTTAATATTTAAGCGGTGGCTCCCAAACTGGGGGGGTCCGGGGTCCACGTGGGGGTTTCAAGCTAGAGGGGACATCATGTATTTTCCTCGACAAATGTAAAAATGTGCAAGTGTCTGCATTCACTGAATGTTCAGTACACCTGCGCCTGATACTCCAGCTTCAGCGAAGTAACAGCTGATCGGGATGAGTGACAGCTGCTGGCGAGGGGACGTGACTAACAGCGGGTGGGGGAGGCGAAGAACACGTCCAGCCTCAAGGTGTTAACGGTAACACAAATCCTGTCAGTGCCGTGTTCCCGCGAAGCACACGGAACCAGTGTGTTTCAAATGACACCCACTTTTATACGAAACAAAAAGCACAACGAGGGAACGAATGAAATGACAATAAAGAAGAGGTTACCTTCAAAATGAACCACAAAATACAAATGGCAGGTAGAAATCACAGGAGGAAGCACACCTATAAAAACACTCTTTGCACACCGACTTCCATCCATTAGCCACACATTATTGTTAACAGCATTATCATAATCTGATTCCCCGGCTGTTGATTTGATCATCCTCTTGTTACTAGCGTGGTCGTCACGCAAAGACATCCCTCATGCTCGTCCTACCAGGTGCACACTGCATGGCGATGGCATGAATGGCAGCAAAACTAAGAAATAAAAGAAAAATCCACTTAAGCCGATTTCCCTGTTACCTGTGACAAGCTGTTTGGTCTTTTTAGTCAGGCTAGTTTTATTTCGTTTTTATTACATCTTTTAGGAAAAATATAGATCTTGGTTTTTCACTGCTGGAGAATGTGATAATTCATTAGGTGACTTTTTCTAAGGGGATCATCAAACTAGTGCGAAGACCAAAGTTGCCAATGAACGTTAACCAGCCACGAAAAGAACGATGCTTGTAAATGTTTTCCACGTGTGTTAAATTCAAAAGTCATTGGAAAAAGCTTAAGGATCATTTAAACATTAAAACCCTGTGAGGTAATTTAGCTGTTTGTAATACGCTGATGAAAAATGTGTCCCGTCCCTTTAACTAAGGGCGGGGCTGCATAATTAGATTTCCTACTCATTTACTTCCAAATGGCTATAAACAACAGTTAGAGTGAAGTGAAGGAGTGTGTGTGTGTGTGTGTGTGTGTGTGTGTGTGTGTGTGTCTTCTGTCCATGCAGTCGATTCCTCCAGTGAGTGTTGCAGTATTGCTTTGGACAGCAGCTTTCTAAAAGGCCTTTCAGGAGGCTCGGGAGTAATTGTGCTTGGTCAAGTGAACTGGCCTCGACCGGCAGCCTCGGTGCAGCAGAATAGGTGTCGCGTTGTACGACGCCCTCGCCCCGCCTCCACCCGCCGATCGGGCCATTTTGCTCACGTTTGGAGCGACGCGCCGGTGAGCGTTTTGCAAGGCGAGAACAAGCGCGTGAGACGCGCGGGACGCCCGCACATCCTGCCCTCATGGGGACAAACTCGAGCACATCTTAAAGGGGCGACACGAGCCGCGTGGAGGAGAGAACCGCGACGCCTTTGCGTCGCACCGATGGACCCCGCGCCCCCTTCCCTCTAATCTTACCGCCATTTTGTCCGCCTGTTCTGAAACCAGGTCTTGACTTGTGCGTCGGTCATCTTCAGGGCCTTGGCCAAGGTGGCGCGCTCGGCAGACGCCAGGTACTTCTGCCGATGGAACCGCTTCTCCAGCTCGCAGATCTGCACCCGGCTGAAGGAGGTGCGAGGCTTTTTCCTCTTGGGCGGCGTCCGGTTCTGGTAGGGGTGGCCGATGCGACGGGTCACGGAGAAGGGTGACAGGGCTGCTGAAAGAGAGGGTGGACTTAGTCTGGTTTCTTCTCAAGCGATGCGTCGTGGATGTGATTGAAAACGCCACGAGAGCATCAGGCAAGAGGTTATTGTCGCTAATTGAGACTTTCCGACTTCATGGCGCCAAGATTCATTTCCGCCAGCGGAGTCATTTCCCTTTCAAAACCGCAGCTTCTGAAATATAAACTTATTTCCCTTGAGGTTTTTGTTCGTCTACGCTCACGTTATCAACACAATCTTGTTTTCCGACCCTTGGTTCAGATAAAAGGATTGTCCATTTCGTTCTGACTCTGGAAAGGCCGGTGTTGTTTGGGGAGTCTAGACAAAAGGCCCAGAAGCTGCCAATTGAAGGAGATATATGTAATTACAACTAATATTCCCCAGCAAGCCGGTTCGTACCGAGAGGACGCTTGAGGTAAAGTCAGAGGCAGAGATATTAACAAAGCCGGGATGAGCGGCAAATTCAAGATGAGATATACCGCTTTGATATAAGTCAAAGGAAGAGTTTTACACTTCAGAAACACAGTTCAATCGGTAAGCTGCAACACAGGGAATACACTTGAAAACCAGCTGTGACACAGGTGTGTGTTGGTGGG